TCTTTCTTTCTTTCTTTCTTTCTTTCTTTCTTTCTTTCTTTCTTTCTGTCTTTCTGTCTTTCTGTCTTTCGTCTTTCTGTCTTTCTTGTCTTTCTTGTCTTTCTTTCTTTCTTGTCTTTCTTTCTTTCTTGTCTTTCTTTCTCTCTGAGACAGAGTCTCACTGTCTCACCCAGGCCGGAGTGCAACTGTGCAATCTTGACTCACTGCAGTCTCTGCCTCCTGGATTCAATTGTTTCTCTTGCCTCAGCCTCGTAAGTAGCTGGGATTACAGGCACCTGCCACCACACCCAGCTAATTTTTTTTTGTATTTTTAGTAGAGACAGGGTTTCACCATGTTGGTCAGGGTGGTCTCGAACTTCTGACCTCAGGTGATCCACCCACCTCGGCCTCCCAAAGTGCTGGGATTACAGGTGTGAGCCACAGCGCCTGGACGAGGCCAGTTTTCTTATTGCCCTCTTTCTTATGATTTCACTGTTTTATTATCACAGTGCACTTAAATTAATTTTAAAAATCTGTTTAGATTTAAAGGGTACAAGTACAGTTTTGTTTCTTGGATATATTGCATAGTGGTGGAGTCTGGGCTTTTAGTGTAACTGTCACCCAAATAGTGTACAGTAATTTCTCATGCCTCATTCCCCTGGAGTCTACTTAAATTCATTTTCATTTAAATTAATACTCAGTATTTTTATTATTACAACTGCAACTGTTGTTTCCAGCTGGGATTATATTTTGTCTCACGTATTAAACAATGTTTTGTATTTTCCTGGAGTTAATGCATTTTTGTTAATTGAATTTTGTATCTGTCAGTAATTAATTTCCAAACTCTCAGACATATGACAGATCTTCTCTTAGGACATTCGCCTGCATCAGGTTGTCTTCCCTCCCTTGATCCTCCTCATCCTTTCTTTTTCCCTGTGGAGGTTGCTTTTCCTTTCTGCTCTCCAGGCCTCTCTTACAGCCTCTTCCTGCAGCTCCTTGGACCTCACGCCTGGGAAGTCCCCTCATTTGTCTCCTCTGTTAGATCGGATGTTTCCTGGATGCCGTGGAAGTCCCCTCGTTTGTCTTCTGTATTAGATTGAATGTTTCCGGGATGCGTGCCATCCTCTTTTTTGAGTTGCTCCCTCATCTCAGGGAATTTCTTGGTTTATTTGCTTCTACAGTTCATGTTCCGGGAACTTCCTGTGAAAAGGGGCAAGTGAGGGCTACATGCTTGGATGCCTAAGTGTCTATAAGTGTCTTTATTATACTTCACACTTGATTGGAGTTAGCATGGAGTAGCAGTCTGGGTTAGAAGTATTCTTGATGTCGTTTGATGTTTGACATCATGATTACATTGCTTCCAGCTGCCAGCGTTGCGGTTGAAAGATCTAGCGCCATTCTGCTTCTCAATCCCCTCTGTGTGTCTTTTCTCTTTTTTCCTTTCTGGAACCTTTTACAGTGTTTTCTTTACTGCTGTTGTTTTGAAGTGTTACAACCATGTGCCTTGGTGGGATTGTTTCTGCACTATATGCTGGGCACTTGGTAGGATTTTTCAGTCAAGATAATTGTGTCTTTTATTTACCAGAAATTTTCTTGTATTTCTCATATTATTTCATTGATAAATTTTGTATTTTCATTTTTTCCCCTTCTTTTGGTAACTCCCACTTTCTTCTTTCCGTTCTCTTCTACTTTCTAGTAGATTTCTACAATTTTTAATCGTTTAGTCTTTTGATTGAACTCTTACTTTCTGCTTTCTTGTTTTTAATTTCAAAACATTGAACTTATGCTGCAATTAAAAACCTTTTTTTTTAAAAAATACAACATCCAGTATTTATTTCATGAATTTATGATCTTTCTTCATTCTTTGCTATATTGCTTCTTTTCTATCCCTGCCTGTCTCTGTTTACTCTGGGTTTCTTTTTCTATTTATATTGGTATCCCTCTTTTATTTCGGAGGTTCTCCTCAAATGCCAGTGATCTTTGGCTCTTTGTTCATACTTAAGAATGAGTCTAGGAAGCAGATCAGAAGCTCTGTGCACCTGGGCAGGGGTTGAGGGCTGTTGGGCTTCACAGTACCATGATCAAGAAAGGACCTGGCCATGTTGTTGGAAGAGTCTTTGTAGCTTATATCAGTTTAACTGGAATATGCTTGTTTCCTGTTTGTGTTTTTGTTTTGGGGTTGGGAATGGCTTAAGTTGGCCACCAGCTTTCTGGTTGTTGGCACAGATAGGAGACTATCACCATTTAGCAAGTCCACATTTCCTTCATCTTCTGCCAGGGATCTCATCATCATGCCTGACCATGCATGATGAGGTTTAACCGCTCCTTTTAAAAACTTTAAATCGGTTTTTCTGTTTTCAGTTTCCTACTCTGCACTGCCACATTCAGAAGTATCTCTACTGCTCCCAGCTCCTGAGTCCTTTCTGATGTCTTAGTCTGTTTGGCTA